GGGAATTTCTTGGGCTGGTGTGTTTTTTTTTGTGTTGACATTTGTAATTTTTAAACGTTTATATTTTTATGTGTTGGTCATAATTTTTTTTATCGTAAAACTGGCTCTGTCTCACCTGTCTGCTCTTGTCGTTGCTGGACATCTAATTCTCAGTTCTAGTCTAATAATCACTGGTGTCAAACATGCGGCCCGTGGGCCAAAACCGGCCCGCTTGGGGTTTCAATCCGGCCCGCCGGATATATTTTAAAAAAAAAAAAAAATTAACAAAAAAAAAATATTTCATTACATATGAAGATTTCTATCTAATCGAATGTACTTTTTTGCAAGAAAACAAAGCGGGGGAAAAAAACAGACTTTTTGTTATTTGCGAAACAAGCAGGCCATCACATTTGGATTGTACTTTGTTTTGGAACGCGTCTGCTTTAGAGGTGCAAATGAGGTCAACTGGGACTCCGGCCTCTTCAGCAAACATAAAGGGCAGCAGAGGGAGCTTGAGCTGATGGTGATGTTTAATATTGAATAATGTGGACGTGGCAGGGAAACAGCAGCGGAGAAGAGACGTTTCCAGTAAAAAATTTTTTTTTAAAATTTTTTTTCCTGGTGATAAGCACCGGAGGAGAACATGAAGTAGAAATGGCTGATGACAGCACATACTGAGAGCCGTGCCCTCATTACTGACCTCTTCTTCATTTTGTTTCCCTCTCTGTGCCTCCCTTCGTGCTCCTCACCTCCTCATATTTTTCTCCGTCCTTGGGGAGTAGAGCAAAGATGCTGGCATCAGGACTCTGGTCATGCTGGACGAGCAGGGAGGTAAGACCGCCGGGGTTCACCTCACACTTTTTTTTTTTCATATTTTTCTATGAAATAATTCAGTTATGGATGTATAACTTCATAACATTTCCATTAGTAATCTGATTTAATTTAATTTTCTTGCTCTATGGGATATTATCATTGGAATGAATGACTTTCTTTACATGTCGTTGTTTGTCGTTTTCTGAGGTATATTTGCGCGCTAAATTAATTTGTTCTTTTTTTGGTTTTTTGTTACGATACGGGTTTTTGATGAATATAATAATACAGGACAACAAGCTAACCTTTTGAAGATTTTCTTTTCTTTCAGATTCATTCGTTTATTTTCGCACAACCTTTTCATTTTCATTTGATCTTCTGTGTTTATTCTTTCAGATTTAAATGTGCTCACTGAGAAACCGCAGTTGTCGCAGACTTTGAATCCTCGTTTATAGCATATCTTTATATCGCGCAACAGCATTAACTGAACAACCTGTACATTCAGTCGAGGTTTATGAGAAATTCTGTTGATAAAAACAACAGAAAAAATGAGGGCCACACTGGTGAAAAAAGCAAAAGTTGGACTAAAAAAAAAAACAAAAAACGATCGATTTAGCTGGTAAAGACAAAATATTCACTTCTTTCTCTCCTATCTCACATTCTGTTTTGTACAATCCCTGGTTTCATGTATTTCTGGTCAGAATTCCGACTAGAGAAACTCAAAAAAAAAAAACGGTTAGCTGTTAGCTTTAATCCATTTATCCACCCTAATCTGTACGCTAGCTCTTGCGTAGCCATGACGAGAGCTGTCACCGCAGTCTGTAGCCGTATAGGAATCGGTGCTGGAGGCAAAATGAGGAGATGTGCGATCGTGTAAACTCTCTGCTGGTTGTCATGGATTCTCAACCACCACCACCATTAGCCCCATCATGCTCAGCACAATTGCTCCGCTAACTTTTCCACTTGAAGAAATTAGCATAAAAGCGTGTCATTCAGGGATTGTACAAATCCGGAGAAGTTATTAAACTAGGTTTTCAATCCATATTTAACTGTGCCTCACCCATCCATACTCTGCCTGCACCACATTTTCTCCAGTTAGCGTAACGGAAACGTCACCAAATCCACCATCCACCGCATCGGCCCGACAAAAGCCACAGCATTCCTGAACCCCACGGAAAAATACGTCATACTTTTCAGTGGAACATTCCGACGCGGAGTCATGACGTACATTTCATGATAGAGGGGCAGTGGCTTTTTGAAAGTCTATTTATTGTTTTGATAGATGGATAGCTACCTAGCTACCTAACTAAATAGGAAGATAGATAGATAGATAGATAGATAGCTTTGTAGCTCTAGCTAGCAAAATAGATAGATAGATAGATAGATAGATAGATAGCTTTGTAGCTAGCTAGCAAAATAGGTAGATAGATAGATAGATAGATAGATAGATAGATAGATAGATAGATAGATAGATTATTTTCTATGTTTACAACTTATGCTAAGCTATCGGTTAGCAACAGACTGGCACACGCCTCTCTTTTTCTATGGCTTTTTCCTGTCAAAAAAACCTAAACTGTTCACTGTTTTAACTTATTATTATATTATCTGCCTATTTTATTATTATTATTATTATCCAAAATGGCTATTTTTTATATTTTTTTTTTTTTGGTCATTTTAATTGATTGACTCCACTCAACGTAACCTTCTACTCTACAGACACTCGCACAGGGATACCAGCATGCACAGAGGAGTTAGACTCTGCTCATAATAACTGTCAACCAGTCAATGAAATTCATTCCACTACTGTCATCCCTTTTGTCCTGACCAGAGCAACTCGATCGTGTCGAAGATGGCATGAACCATATCAACCAAGACATGAAGGAAGCCGAGAAAAATTTAAAAGATTTAGGGAAATGCTGTGGGCTTTTCATATGTCCATGTAACAAGTAGGTACTGACAGTGTGCCTCCGAGGTTCTTTTTGCATATGTGGTGGCGTCCAGTTTTTTTTTATTTCTTTTTTTTTTTTCTTTTTTTTTTCTTTTTTTATTTGTTATATTCTTTTGTCACAGTGAGTGTCTGAAGATGTTGTCTTCTCTTCTTTGTCTTCTCTTCTTTGTCTTCTCTCTTCCTCCCTCTCGCCTCTTCTCGTGCTTCGCTCTGTGGGGGAAAAATGACTTGTGTTTAATCAGAGCAACTGGAGCGCATCGAGGAGGGAATGGACCAAATCAATAAGGACATGAAGGATGCAGAAAAGAATTTGAACGATCTAGGGAAATTCTGTGGTCTTTGCTCCTGTCCATGTAACAAGTAGGTGCTGCTTGCCTGCCTGCCTGCCTGCCGTTCAAAGACACCAGTCCAATATCTGAGAAATCAGTGACGTAGTGGAGGTAGAAGTGGCATCACTGTGGTCAGCAGCCAACGGTCGCTCTGCTCCAGCTCCAATCAAAAACAGACTTGGGCCATTTTTTTTTATTTTTTTTATTTTATTTTATTTTATTTTTTTAGCCGAATGAGCTAGCCAGGCGGATGTGATATACTTCGAAGTACTCGTTCACGAACACACATAAAAGTACGCGCTTGCACAGTATTAGGTTTAAAGTCGAACTGAAAGATGAAATATTTTGCGGATTCCTAATGGATTCCGATCGTTTGCGCACTTTGCCCGTAATCCTCGTACACTGCCCCCAGCTGGCCATTCGGTGTACAAAATAGGTGTAGGTTTGTTGGGAAATGAACTAGATACGAACTGGAATGAATAGTTTGTGTGTATACTTCTATACTCAGAGTTTTATTCGGACCGAAAAAACTTTACAGGAATTATCGGTAAACAAATCGAATTAATTATAAATATAGTTTA